TGTTCTTTGATAGGAAAAACCGTTCATGCCAAAAATGGCATCGTAAGTGTTATTGAAATCTGCCGCAACATATTCAAAAATCAAGTATTAAGACATTCGTCAAATTTTGTTGCGTGGAAATAAAATGTATTTCCGATTCATTCAGTCCGATCGCTAAACTGAAAGAATTACATTGTCAACTCATCCGCCATTCATCGTATTCCTAAAATTTGGCCTGCAGCGACTATTTCATGTTTTTTTTTAGCCTCAAAACGTGGCGGAATGAAGAAGACTTCACTCAAATGAGAGGAAATGAAATATGGAAGCAAACGGCCCTCGGATCTTCAGTGTACCTTTTGGTTTCAATTTCTTTAACGATTGCAATTTTTCATCACTTATCGTACTTTTTATGGCTTTAATCTTTAATTTTGACGAAATATTTAATGAACTTCTAATTTTCAAAATCGGTGATTTTGCAAAATTTGAAATCATGGACCACTTGACGTGGTTTGACCCTCATACATATGTAGTTTTATTACTTTTAGGGTTGCAATAGAGCGTGATTTTGTTGGAACAAGCACTGTGGGAAAGCTCCTTAAAGTACATTCCAATTACATGATATCTGGCAAACTTAAGCCATAAGTGAGCCATTTAGAGGTTGTTTTATCTTTTTGTAACCTCTTCACATTCATGGTCTTACGAATAGCGTGTTTCCTGATTCCCAATACGCCACAATTCCGCTCGTCTTAATGTGGTTAAAGCAAAGATAAACTGAATTATCTGAAACATTGCCAAAACGTGATATTAATTGATTTCGTTCTTGTTTTCATAACGTCACGAAGTAATGTATTTTCTGTCAAATGCACTCCGAAAAACGTAAAGGGTCGAAACTTTGGAATCTCTATTTTCATCATTCTTAGTGACAATTTCATTTAATTTTTTTTTTTAAATATGTCATTTTGGAACGAAGCTAAAACAGTAATTTTTCTTAATTAAGATATACATATGCACATTTAAAGTAGCATACCCAAATCTTCCTTCGCTTACTCTAAATTCGTTAAACTGAAAAACTATTCAAACCTTACCAGCTTCCTCACAAAGTAGTTAAATCTACAATTCATGCGCCACAGATTTATTTCAGCTAACATTTGTTTATAGAAAATATTATTTGAGTAATTAGAAAAGTTTGCAAACATTTGCGAACGTGCTCAATCTTTAGGCTTAAATGCAAACACACATGTAAATGCAACTAAATTATTTACAATCATAATTCATATAACGTTACATACGCATACATATAACTAATGCATAAGTATTACCAATATTTTATTGTATGGCAATTTGTACCAACTGTCGTTCAGAGTCGTGTACGCCCAAAAAGTATTACTGCTGCTGCCAAACCAAAGCTAATTAAAATCGTATCATTTATATTTAAATAAATAGGCGGTCATTTAAAATGTTCGTAACTCGTTGGCAGAGCACACGCCATGGCTAATTGTGGCTGCCGCGGCGTGACGGTTGATCGGAAGCGAATTCAATTACAAACTTTTACACAATTTCAAACTGGTTTTCATAATCCAAATGCTCAGTGAACTGTTGTATGCAAAATAACGCTTTGTTTGCCGGTGGAAAACCAATATCGAGGCTGTTCGTATAATGCGATTTGGCAACACATGTAGATCGGCGTAGACTGAGGGCTCTTTTAGTGACGGATATGTTTATTTATACGAAAAAGGATTTGAATACTTTAGATGGTCCTTTGTTTGGTACGAGTCAATAAACTTTTGAATATTTCACAGAGCACAGAGCTCTCACTTTAATACACAAATTTGGCAATTATGAATAAATGTAGGTATACATTTATATATATTAAAACAATATTTTTTTTAGCTTAAAAGAAAAACCATTATTAATATAAAAATACAAAATTTAACTCGATCCGTCTCTACTTATGCCTACGACTCATCTGAGTAAGAGCACTATGACGCATCGCCTCGTGATATATGTAAATGAACTAAAACGAGTCTTTCGAACTATAATATATAGTGGACTCTTAAACTTAGGTCGTTTAGACATGAACCGTTGAAATTAATAATCATAGTTGTCATAACTTCTTATAATCGTAATAATGCAAAAAAAAAAAAAAAAAAAAAAAAATTAAAAGAGTAATTAAAACGTTACAACGATATTACATTTGATACTTTTTGTGGTTATTTACGAGTGAAATTAGCACAAAAATCAGGAATGAGGACTCAATTTTTATGAAAAACGTTTACTGGCCATTAACTACATATTACATGTTATATGCCTAGATGGTACATGTATTTATATATAATTTATATATAAGCGTCATGTGTGTATTTATATTCATGAGCTTTTATTTTTTCCAAAAAAAAATAATTAATTTCACACTTTTTTTTAATAGTATTTATTGTAAATACATATGTGTTTTACCAAAGTAAGTCTTAAGATTTTAAAAGTTATAAATGATCTAGATTTCATACAGCTGTTTCAATAATGAATTTTAAATATGGAAAGTCAATCAAAGGAACACTTCACCAGCCTGCTGAATGGTAGTGAAAGCATCGATGACGATGGATTCAAACACGGCGGTGGAGAGCTAATGGGGAGCATGCATCATCTGCTTAGTAGAATATGGTCAGACAAAAGTATGTCCGACGATTAGAATTTAAGTGTGCTCTGTTCAATCCACTAAACGGGGGACCGTGGGATAGGCCTCCTCAACATCGCAAATAAGGTTTTATCGTGCGTATATGGTGAATTATTAAAGCCCACTGTCAACTAACTAATTGGACCTTATCAGAGATTCAAGAAGATTTAAGCCTGGGAAATCAACAACTGACCAGGTATTCACTATGCGCCAAATCTTGGAGAAGACCCGTGAAAAAGAGTCGACACACACCATCTTTTCGTCGATTTGAAAGCTGCACGATGGCCTTAACACCCGCGCCGTTAGTTCTGCTTTCTCCAGACTGGGTAAGGAAGGGAAGCAAGTGAGGCTGGTATTAAACGAGGGCGAATTCACCCCTAAACAACAATAACGTCCGCCTCGAAATCCAACGCAGAATAACTCTTGCCAACAGGTGATACTTCGGACTGAATAGGCAATGGAGAAATAAAGTCCTCTCTCTAAGAACAAAAACCAAACTCTATAAGTCCTGCTATATGGTGCAAAGGCATGGACGATGACAACATCTGATGAGTCAGCCTTAGGATTGTTCGAGAGAAAGGTTCTGCGGAAGATTTATGGTCCTTTACGCGTTGGCCAAGGCGAATATCGCATTCGATGGAACGATGATCTGTATGAGATATATGACGACATGGACATAGTGCAGCGAATTAAGAGACAGTAGCTATTAGTGATTAGCGATATTTCACTACCTGTGATTTTTTCACTGTGATTGAAAAATCGCTTATCGGAACTGAGATGACATTTTATAAATATCAGTTCGCTTCTATGAACTGCGATTGCGATAGCAGTTAGAACTTGTGATTTTCGATAGCAGTTCGAACTTGTGAAACTTTGATTTTTTAATAGTACAGTACATGCGATCACAATAGCAAATAACAGAAAAGTAGCAGCTTTCTTCAGGGTATTGTATATACATATGTCTGCGTATATGCTATTTTTCAACATAGCGGTCTGAAGTTTTGAGTGTAACGTTCTTATAATGTTTTATAATGGCAGGAAATGTATCAAGGAAAAGAAGTGAAGTATGGCAGATGTTTGAAGTTGTAGATGAAATATATGCAAAATGCAATATTTGCAAATCAAAAATTAGATATAAAATATTTTTAACAAATTTAAAAAGACATGTCCAGAATAGACATCCTGCAGTGGCCATTAGTCATTAGTTTTTCTTTGAAAATATTAAAAGCGGGTATTCTAAATAACTAATGATCAACCACACTAATGGTAATTTCTTGTAAGAAATTTGTGAAACCATCATACTAGCATACAAATGAACTACGCAATACGCTCCAAGTGTCAGGTAGCCGAACCGCTCCAACATTTGCGAAAATGTAGTGAGAAGGAAGGCGGAAAAACTTGACTTGAGTTACAGGACCCAAAAGAAAATTTGCCGCCAATAACGACAAAAGGTTTCCGTCGTTCCCACGGCAGTCGGGTCTACGTAACAGGAACGGATCCGGGCAAACAGTGTCAAATCGGCAGAATCTGCCGCTACAACAACAACAACAACAACAAAAGTTGTTGCGATCGCAATAGCAGTATAAAATCACAGTGATTTAAAAATAGCAATCACTGAAATCACAGATATCGAAAAATCGGAATACGAAAATACTTCAACTCTGAAAGCAAATACCATTTTAATAATTTTGCGAAAACTTAATAAGGAAATAGAATAAAAAACATTAGAGAAATCGTTGTATATCCGGAAAATTATTTTTTTCGATATTAAAAAATATATTCATATATACATCGATTTAGTGCCATTAAGTATAATAAAAAAGTATTTTAATTTACATTATTTTAGTAAAATTATGTTAAAATATTCTTGTCGTATTCACTTAGGTAATGTTTAGATATACATATGTATTTACATATGTACGTACTTGTGACATAAGAATAGATATTTATACATACATATACTCAATTACAGAGGGATGCGACCTCATCGCATGTTAAGCGACGTATCACTTTAAAAATGCATTCAACCGTTAAAATTGTTCAGTATGCTGGAGATCAAAAAAATTAATTTGAAATTTGCGTTGTACCTATTTGAAAAACGTCAAAAATCAAAGTCAAAATACGTCAAACAAGCTGTTGATTTTTATCTAGCTACAAATATCTTTCCTCCCTGCATCTGCTGGGTCGCAATTTTTTGCACATGCAAATTTCTATTTTTTTCTTGTTTATAACATTTTCATCTCACAAGTGAGTAAATAAGTAATCAAATGCAAATACGCCCACAAATTTTCATGTGGACATTAGCAAAGTGAGAGGAAAGGCATTTGAGTAGAAAGTAATACAAACTTACGCCTTAAATCCCTCGGATCGGAGTTGTTGCTGCGCGGACTTTCACCCTTTTCACCGTTGTCGTAATCGTTTGATCCTTCCATCGATTCATGGGAAGTGCATGTGGGACTCGTAGAGTCTGTGCGAAATGAATCATTGCCATTGAAGAGATTCTGTGGAAGAGAAATTGAGAAAATAGATGTTTGATAAAAATTTATTTTGCAAATATGCAAAAGTTAAGGAGTTTCTTGTTGTTGTGTGTAATAGAATTAAATGTAGATGTTAAAAATTAAAAAAGTGATACGTCTATATCTAATTATATCTGTGGAATATAGATTTTTTAAGACCTTTGTGGATATGGTTCTCGCATATCATACCTATTACTCTATTGTTTTGCAACTAAGCTCGCATATAAGATATTTTTGTTTTTTGTCTTAAGTTAGATAAGAAGAACAATTCTCATACAAGTATCTACCTGAATACATATGAGGAGCGTTCTAAAGTAAACAGGACATAAAAAGCATAGAAAAAATGGTTTTTTCGGCAAAACCAATTTACACACACAACTTTCATAAGCCCAAATGTTCGGTCAAAATGCGATAAATTGATGTTTTAGAGATGTTCAATTTCATTTGAATGATTTAAATTCACTCACTGTTTTGGTGGAATTTTCGGTGATCATAGATTTTGATTGGCCCACAGGATGGTCATTTATGTCCTCACGACCACTTTGAAAACATTGAAACCACTCGTGCTACCGGATAGGCTATCATCGCCATAAACTTGTTTCATCAGTTGAAACATTTCTGTAAATGTTTTACCAATTTTAAAACAAAATTTAATGTTGGCTCTTTGTTCGAAGCGATGGCGCCACCAAGAGGCACTAGATTCAAAATGTCCTCTTTACTTTGGAAAGCACCTGGTATAATAATGAGCTGGCAGTATGAGACAATTCTATGGAAAACACCCATTAATGTACCATATACTGATTAATATTTAGAAGGCAGTTTGATTTTGAAGCTATAGTTTTTAATGTATTAACTACCTATTTAATTGCTTGAATTTCGTCCACACGCAATATAGAGCACATTTGATACCGTGGTTATATAAATATTAATGAAAATAATGTTTTTATAAATATAAGTCTAAATTTCATCCATCCATTTCAGCCATCACTACATTATTTGGATCCCAATAAACCAGCATGTAATAGCTCGCTTTTGAAACATTTTGATCCATGAAAAATATCTCTTCTTATTAATAGGCTGAATACTGAGCTTTTGCAAATTAAACGTCACAATATTTCATTATCCTTTGTACATGTCCTTTATTTGGCCGCTTCCGAGTATCTGATAAAGATACTCTACCAAGTATCTGAAGCTAGAGCTTTTGTTACCGTCACTATGCACTGTACGTACTTCTTTTAAATGTTTTGTGGTTTATCTCTACTATTTATGTATATAGAAATGGTATAATCAAAAATGCAATATGCTATGCCTTCAATAAGTGCTTGTCTTCTACTTAATAGTATCTTAGATTGTTTTTGAGTTTCTGAATGAGTTTAATGGTAAGTTTCTAAGTGATTAACATAACGCCATACCATTGTATAAAGACCGCTTTGATATGTGTTACAAAACTCACCTGATCCAGTGATATGCCTATATATTTGGGTGGTGAAAACGCGGACGGCAGTTGAAAATTCGATAATACCGATGGTTTTCCGAGTCCGCGGTCACTGGCAAAGTAGCTCGCAGGCCCCCCATTCGCCGCCAACATGCCATGGTTGAGCGTCTGTAGCAGGTGCGGATGGAAGCTGTGCAGCAGGTGTGTGCCGTAACTGCCGACAAGTGACATATTGTGTAGATCTTTGGCGTCTGGTAACTGCAAGAAAAATGAACATACAAAATGAGCAAAATTTCTTCTTTAGCATGCGGAAAATTTCTTCTAAGCAGACAAATGTTATGAAAAAGTAATAAGCTCCATAAAAAGGTGCTCAAGCTCTATATATGTATATGTATGTACATATGTATTATTGATGCCACTTTCTAATGTAACATATGTACGTATAATAAGTTGTTGTACTTTTTTCGAGGAAAGAGTTTTATCCTTTTGTTACGGTTACTCTGGCGAGCAAATAAACTATCAGGTTTGATGCACATGTTTTGGGTTTTTGGCGAAAACATATGAAAATATTTACAATATCCGAGAGAAATATTTTTGTATGCATGACATAAAGTGTTGTTGTTTATTGGCATTTCTGCTGCGTAGGGTAATGACACGTTAAGCTCGGGTCAGTCGTCTTGTCTACGTCTCACACAGCATTACACTGCTATTATTTCGGCCAAGGATTTGTTGTGGGTCAGTTGTGTCCGTTGGTGAATGCTTCAAGTGGAAACTTTATTGCTTTTGAATGAGTTGAATTCAGTTTTTTTTTGTATTTTATGCGCCGAATCTAATTGTGTAGAAAAGCTGTCAATGTGGCAAGGATAATACATGCGCTTTTTGAGGCTTTACGCAAGTCTTCAAATAAATTTAATGGCATTTTGAATAAAAGTGTTTAAATAAATAAAATGGAAAAACTAAAAAATACTTCCTAACAATTTAACAAAAATATAAAAAGTAAAAAAGTAATTTCGCGATTTGCGCCAGTTCAGAGCTCTAAAATCAGGCCTAACATTGACAATTTACTTAAATAGTAAAGATAAATAAATCGATTTTTTCTTAATGCTTTGTTAAACACTAACTTGGTGGACAACAATTTTATATTTACATTTTGATACTTGGATACAAAATAGCGGCAACTAGGCCAATATTCGTTTTAACTTTTTTTTAGGAAAATGCAATTTCGGGGCAACAAAGTTTATATTTTAACGCTGAACAGATCCTAGCGCTCGCACTATACTGGATTCAACAGGGAAATGTTTATTTCACTATTTTACCAATTTATTAAGGTATTTAAGGTTCTAACGTGCAGTTTTTACAAAAAAAAATTTTCGATGGTTTTAAAAACCCAGACTGCCTTAAATCCATAAGGAAAGAAGCAAAATTCAAATACTACATTGAGACTCTCATATTTTCTGGTCTTCTAAGTATTTCAGCGCTTCAATTACTTCTTAAAGTGCTTTACCTGTTTATATTTCCACTAAATTTCACTTCACTTATTCATTTGTCTTGAAGTTTAAAAAACAACAAATTTCACAAATTTCACAAAATTTTTATGATAATTTGAGAAACAAAATATTTGACTTTTAGAACTAAATCAACAAAGCTGTGGACCCCATAGTTCACACCCCTCGCTGTCACCCAGCCCACGCCGAACGCTTGAGGGTTGCTGCCACACATGTTATCTTGTCGCCACTTCGATTTAGCATAAACGTCGTTATCCAGACTCCGTCATCAGCCTAACGCAGTGTCTCTTTGACACGCACACATGCGTACATATTATGTGTGGCGTGTGTTAGCAACATATCATTTACACAAATAACGCATGTAATACTCTTGTAACTCACTCCACTGCCCCTCGACGGAGGTGTCGTAATTTATGCATGTGTGATAAGTATAAAATTTAAATAAACTTGTTCATTGACAATATTTTTGAAAATTGCTTGACTAAATGCCGCGTAAATGCGCTGTAAATTATGCAAATATTATACTTCGTTAAATGGTTAAAGGTTATTGGAAACTCCGCGACACATGACTTGCGTAAGGCAATAAAGAAATTATGCCAACATAGAAACAGATATGACACATATTTACAGTTAGGAGAATGGAGTCATGTGTAGAAGTTCACGCAAGTGAGGAAAGTTCTCTGATCACCATTCACTTGGCAGTGGCCAGAAACGATTCTTTTACATATGACTCAAGCAGCTCACGACTTCCGGTCTTTGACCAAGTATCCTCTGGGTAGCCTAAGAACATCCGTTTGAAGGCGAAGTAAAGTGAGAAGGCGAAATATCAGCCCCAATGAAAAATTTTCAATAGCCTCGGATGAGAGACCCCCCTTTTGATGACGACCATGGCAAACGAATTAAGGACTATGATTTGAGGGCATGCATCTGGAATGTCCGGTCCCTTAATTAGGAAGGTGCCGCTGCGCAGGTGGTTGATGTCCTCATTGGAGTGAAGGCTGACATCACCACCGTCCAAGAAATGCGATGGACGGGACAGGGATAGAGACGAACAGGTCCTTGTGGCATTTACTACAGTGGCCATATAAAGGAGCGCAAATTTGGTGTGGGATTCGTGGTGGGAGAGAGACTCCGTCGCCGAGTACTATCATTCACTCCGGTGAATGAGCGTCTAGCCACAATCCACATCAAAGCGAGGTTCTTCAACATATCGCTGATTTGCGCCCACGCCCCGACGGAAGAGAAGGACGGTGTGACCAAAGATGCCTTTAGGCAACCGAAGGATTTTCTACTCAGCTTGCACTCCTTTTCTCTGAGAGCACTCGTCAACAACTCCGTATAAGGGAACTGTGGGACGACATTTCAAACTCCTTACGTACAGCTGCAACCGAAACCATTGGTTTTCGGAAAGTGCAAAAGAACAGCTGGTACGACGACTAGTGCCGTGTCGCTGCCTACCTCGCACCGTTACAATCGACCAAAACACGTGTGGGATGGGATAGATACCGAGAGTTGAAGAGGGAAGCGAGACGCATTTCCAGACAGAAAAAGAAAGCGGCCGAAATGCGAGTACGAAGAGCTTGATAAGTTGGCCGACAGGGGTAATGCTCGAAAATTCTACGAAAAAATGCGGCGGCTTACAGAAGGTTTCAAGACGGGGCATACTCTTGTAGAACACTTTGCCAGCCTACTGAATGGCAGTAAACGCACAACAAAAAGGAGACCCCACAATTTGCGCCAACTACCGTGGGATCGCATATAAGGTCGTATCGAGCGTATTGGGTGAAAGATTAAAGCCCACCGTCAACAAACTGATTGGACCTTATCAGTGTGGGTTCAGACCTGGAAAATCAACAACCGACCAGATATTCACAATGCGCCAAACCTTGGAAAAGACCCGTGAAAGGAGAATCGACACTCACCACCTCTTCTTCGATTTCAGAGCTGCTTTCGACAGCACGAAAAGGAGCAGCCTTTACGCCGCGATGTCTGAATTTGGTATCCCCGTAATACTAATGCGGCTATGTAAACTGACGTTGAGCAACACCAAAAGCTCCATCAGAGTCGGGAAGGACCTCTCCGAGCCGTTCGATACCAAACGAGGTTTCAACCTGCTTCTGGAGAAAATAGTTCGAGCTGCAGAACTAAATAGAGAAGGTACCATCTTCTATAAGAGTGTACAGCTGCTTTCGTATGCCGATGATATTGATATCATCGGCCTCAACACCCGCGTCGTTAGTTCTGCTTTCTTCAGACTGGACAAGGAAGCAAAGCAAATGGATCTAGCAGTAAACGAGGGCAATACGAAATATCTCCTGTTATCAAACAAACAGTCGTCGGACTCGCGACTAGGCTCTCACGTCACTGATAATTTCGGCCATCTTGGAAYCAGCGTAAACACCACCAACAATGTCAGCCTAGAAATCCAACGCAGGATAACTCTTGCCAACAGGTGCTACTTCAGACTGAGTAGGCAATTGAGAAGCAAAGTCCTCTCTCGACAAACAAAAACCAAACTCTTTAAGTCACTCACTTGCGAGTTTTTGAGAGAAAAGTTCTGCGAAAGATTTATGGTCCTTTGCGCGTCGGCCACGGCGAATATCGCATTCGATGGAACGATGAGCTGTACGAGATATACGACGACATTGACATAGTTCAGCGAATTAAAAGACAGCGGCTACGCTGGACGAAAACACTCCAGCTCTGAAAGTATTCGACGCTGTACCCGCCGGAGGAAGCAGAGGAAGACGAAGACCTACACTCCGTTGGAAGGACCAGTTGGAGAAGAACCCGGCTACGCTTGGAATATCCAATTGGCACCACGTAGCGAAAAGAAGAAAAAACTGGCGCGCTGTTGTTAACTCGGCTATAATCGCGTAAGCGGTGTCTACGCCAATCAAGAAGAAGAAGAATGATTTCAGAGAGATTGAAAGACATTTTATGAAACCTTGAACCTAATTATCTTTAGTACTCTAAGGCCAAATACTTTCAACTCAAAAGAAATCAGCGTCGTTATTGCATCAAATTTCAAAGTTTTACTAGCAGTAACTCTGACTTATTCTTGACTTAAATTAATCTCAGTGGTGATAATGATTTAGTAATAAGAATTACTAGACTAAGTTTAGTTTAGTAACGGGTTTATTGATATGAAGGTCTCTATAGTAGTAACACCTCACAAAATAAAGATAGAGCTAGATAAAAATATAATAATTGTCAGTATAGTAAATGAATTGGCTATTTCCGTAACCCAAAAATACGAATACTAGTTTCATCAAATTGCAATTAACCGCATTACCCGGAACGAAAATCGTATTGGACTTCTTTGATCACACCTTAAACATCTAAATGTGTGGAATAGCTGGGATTCTTGCGGTAGAAACTGTAAACTGTATTAAATAATAATTTAACATTTCCTGTGGTTTACTATAAACAGGTATCGATGCTTTTCCTTTTTGTTTCATAACTGGCTAAATTTGTGAATAAAAGTACCCTTAATCTAGGACAAAGGCGGAACTAATGATCAAATACGATAATCCTCATAAAAATCATGTTAAGAAGAGCAGGATCCGATATACAAATCTCTAATTCTGTGTCAAACTCCTATTTGCATACATGTGTAAGTATTTCATTGCAAAAAAAATTTGGAAGAAATTTTAAAATTCCACAACCTGATTACAACCACTCTTCTTCCTCTTCTCTCCTTTTTAAATAAATGTATGCAAGGGCTGCACATTTCGTTCTTGGATGCAACCA